AGCTAACTCAAATGCAGGAGGATTGCCCAAACCTTATAGGGAGTCCCACCCATCTCATTAACCACCAACGTGAGACTTTTGTCATTCTTTAACAAGATAGTCAATTAATATCATTTTGCGAGAAAATTATAAGTAAATGAAAATTCTTTATCCTGAAAATCCATTAAACGAAAGAATTTTACGAACTTTGGTACAATGCATTACAAACTTATTATACTCAAAACCGAAAAAACAAATGAAGAAATAAAAATTGTTACAAGTGATGAATTAAGTTATTAAATCAACTAATAATAATACTAGCTTAGATTAACCAAAAATAATTAATTAATGGTTCATGCCAGGGCTAGGTCCAGAATTTTTGACTCCTCCAAGAGTTGAAACATCTCTATATTTGTGTCCTTCCCCCCTCGAACTTGGTCCTCCTGTTTTAATTGCTTCGAAATATAATCCATCAACGTTAACCACGTTGAGAGGACGAGCTTCGATGTTAATGAAAAATGAAGAGCTTAATAAGACGTTGACCGCGATCAACACTACAAAAATATTGAGACCTCTTGTCATTTTTGATGAAAATTTGGAGGTAATAATATGATATTACTGTACGTTGTTCTTATAATATTTGTGTAGCTGTGTGTGAAAATATGGTGCATCCTTGCTCTATATTTATAGTAAGTACGTTCATGTTTTATTATTAATAAATGGTGTTTGATAAAGAAAATACTAAATTCTTTGATGAAGTAACTTCTAGGAAATTTAACCATAGGACTCTACCATTCTTTGGTCCAACTTTGGTTCTAATTAGTCAAGAATTGTTAATTAATTAATTCCTTCTCTTCATCTTTATTTGTTCATCATACAAAATATAGTTATCTTTTACTTTGAAAAATTAAAAGTTAATTTATTAATTTGTATATATTTTATCTCTGACATCAAATATTATTCAGTAGTATCTGATATACTTTCTAAGGAATTAAATTTAATGTATTCAAAGATAATATATTAATTACCTCTACTATTTATTAATTTCTTAATAAATGAATTATAAAAAAATAACTATGATTGAACAGAAAAACTAACATTGAATTTTCATTTAGAAAAAATAATTTAAATAAATGTGTACATATTTTTTTCTTTTTATCTTTTTGCCTGCGTATGTAATAGCCTACGTCAATCATTAACATGCAATATGGTCTTTCGTTTTAATTATGGGGGCAATTTGTATTGTAAGCTCTTGTTGACCTGCCCATTAGATCCTCATTAAGAAATTTTGATACATAAATTACTACTAAATATTAATGGCATTTTATTGTTATCTTTTATTTTTGTTGGTATGACAAAATTTGCCATAAAAGACATAGCTTGTCGAAAACTATTAGTCTATAAATTTGGGAGGTTTAATGTATAGTTGTATTAAAAATGATTTTTAGTGATAATTAATTAATAATAATATTTAATTATTGTTAAATATATTTTTACGAGTAATTAATCCTTTTTGTAATGTCACTATAAATGTCACTAATATGGAAATACTCTTCATTAATGTGCATTATCGCTAAAAATTATTTTTATTATGATATAATGACATTTTGATTGGCCGTATACAGTTCATCTAAATTGTGCTGATTTAAGCTCAATATATTTCTCATAATAACACGTGAAAAAATTTATTAAAATATTTTATTTTATATGATTTAGCCGTAATAAAAGAGATGAGTTGATTTCGTAGTTAAAAAATTATAAGAAAAAAAGGCTTATTTATAAGAGTTTGTAGGTTGAGTTATAATCCATATTTGTTAGCCATTTTGACTCATGTCATCTCGGCTTTATTAATTCAACTCATTTAATTCGTTTAAATTTAATCCTATAAATATTATTTATTTTTATTTAATGCAAACAATAAATAACATCTTGTAATTCTTCATAACTAATTTATGTAAACATTTCTAAATCATGCTGTCGTATGCATAGATATAGAATGAGAGATTTACTTCTTTATAAATACAATAGTTCACATTTATTTAATTGACAATTTCTTAACTTCATATGCATTATTATGAAAACATTAGTTACTTTACATTATGAAAAATGATATTAAAATAAGAGTAATACTACATTCCATTTACTCTCTCTTTTATCAATTTCGATGTTGACTTAAATAATCTTTCTTCCTGTTGTATATTTTTAGGCAATTATTTTTGTATAAGACCAAATTTCCAATTACGAATATATTATATGTATAAGGAAGAGTTATGAAAACCTTTTAGAATGATCGATCTTAACAATTTGCACCAGAATTAAGTTGCAATTGCTTTCGAAACAATGACTTCATATTTGAAAAAGTCAAAGATTTAAATTATTCAATTAAGTCAAAAAGGTTAAGTGGTTATTGTTCAATTTACACACGTGATCAACCAGAAACAAAGTTTGATTTCCCAACCACTTAATGAATTTCAGGAATAATTTATATCTAAGTTAATATAATTTTTATTATTACGTAATTTAATAAAGTAAAATAAAGTATAAAATTTACACATGACATGTATATATTGATTTGGTATAAATACCTAATGCGGATAAATTTTTCCCATTTTATACTTCTGGTTTTCCAACATGTTTTGAGCAGGGGCAAAGCTATAAGCATTATTACTCCCTCCGTTTACGTTTTAATTCTCGAAATGTGATAGCTCACAAGTAAAAGCAAAAAATACGATAAATAAAAATAAATAGAGCAAATATTGATCATCAATTCGATATAATTCAATAACCTTTAATTAACATTATGTTCGTATTAAAAATAATTAAGATTATCTTTGAAGGTCCAGAATATATAAACTTAAATTCTGCATTTTATGAACAGTACGTTTGATTTTTAAAAAATAAATTACTCCAAGTTGGTTCTTCTACGGACTACAAGCACAAGTACCTTCTGAATTATGACTGAAATTATAGAGACACATCTTATTTGAACTAAGGTCCTATTTAAATTCTCTTTTTAAAAAAAATTTATACACCTATTGGCTTAAGTGGCACTCTCCGTAACTACTAGTTGAGGCACATAAGAGAGGTTTAGATACCACATAAACCAAAAAGGTATACAAAATTACCAAAAAAAAAAGGTTCGAGGGTAATAAAACCTTAGTTTAGTTGATGTGTGTCTCTGAGATTCCGATTATATTCTAAAGGGTACTCGTCCCTCATTCCCTACCCAAAATGTTATTCCCTCTATCCCAATTTTTGTGACTTAATTCTTTTTTAGTTAGTTCTAAAGAAAATAACATATTTTTATATCACGTAATAATTTTATTTTAAAATATTCATTTTATCCTTAACGAAATGATTCATAATCACACGAGTTTCTATTATTCAATTTGAACCACAAATTATAGTCACATTCAGTTTCTAACTATCTCACTTAAAGTGGGCCGAAAAATGTACTAATGTGGCACAAAAATCAAGAAGGTTGCTTGAACCAATCAAAGACAAACCGAAAGATGCCCAAAAAATATTGATTGGGCCTTGCTGACTTTTGTAGGCCCAGAGAAACACAGTTATTTGTAGTTGCAGTCCAAGAAAATCTTGTGATATGTGCTATTTCTCATCTCCAAAAATATTTCAATATTTTAGTTGAAGTCCAAATATGTAAATACTGATTTATTTGGAGATTTTATATGAGCTATTTTGCCTTATTACTCCCTCTCTCTGTCGCAATTTATTCTTTTTAGTTGATTAAAAAAATTAATATATTTTTATATTAAAAAATAATATAACTTTAAAATATCAAATTTTTTCATAATGAAATGATACATAGTTACACAAATTTTTATCATTCATTTAAATCACAAATTTTTAAAAAGTTTCTTTCGTAAACTTATACTGAATGAAAATAGCTCCCGTAAAATGAAACAAAGAAAATGTTATTTCCATAGAAATCTGTGGAAAATTTACCATAGACAAAACTTTACTATATTAATCTCAACTTTTAGCTATCTTTCTAAAATGTCCATAAATCTTGTCGAATTGACATATCTTATGTCGGACCAAGTATCATTTTGTGTGAAAATGACATTTAATCCAATGTAAGCTTGAGCTTTCCATATGAATTTTTTCGTGGAGATTCTATGTTGTACAAGTTCCAGAATAATCACATTTCTATATAAATACTGAATATTAGTCTAAAGGCAAAACAAAAATAAAGATACTTATTGTACAAATTGTTCAAAGTTTGTCACAATAGTAAAATTTGTATTTTCTTTATTTCTAATTAGTTGTTCACATTTTTTTTTAGTTATTCTTATTACTTGTTTATTTTGACTAAATAATTAAAAATCGATAGAATATGTGTAGTTTAAATTATTCACAAATTATGTCAATAGAACTTGATCAATATTTGCACCAACTTTATAAAAGGCATAAACTTTATTCACCGACTCTCAAATTGTAGGATAATATAAAGGTGAAATATTCATGACTCTAGCAAACCGCCAAATGATACCTATATTCCAATTTCACCGTAATCTATATAATATAATAAAGATAAAAATAATAAATATATAATAAACTATCCTACATAATATATAGATATTCTTTATTATTATTTTGAAATATTAATACTTATGTCGTTTAAAAACTAAATAGTATATGTCTCTCGCTCCAATGAAAACTAAATAAAAATATTTATTATAATTTTATTTATCGATCTAATATCAAATTAATAAATAAAATTATAACATTTATAAATCGTAACGAAGGTATCTATATATCAATTACTATAATTCAAAGTGTATATTTCTTTTTCCCTTTAATAAAATCCTATCAATACATTCGAAGAGCCAAAACACATCACTTTTTTCGTCATTTTCCCATCTTTTTTCCAAAGCCATTAATTACTGCCAGAAAGCGTGGCCACCTCTTTGTTCTTATCTGTCTGTTTTTTTCCTCATATTTCACACTAATCCTACTTTCCTTTCATATATTACCAATAAAACAAAGATTAACGCTAATTAACATAGTAATTAGAATCACAACTTAAATTTATCAGTCCTCAATTTACATTAATTGGAAAAAAATATTAAAAGCTTACATATGTTACATAACAGATATATAGATCTAAAGCATAAATGATTCAAAATACTGTAAAAACCCAAACCATAAGCGGAAAAATTAGGATAATATAATGTTAAAATTACGAAATTGAATATATAATTATATCAATTAAGTTTATTTATTTATTAGCTTTGAAATTCATCTTCTCGTAGTACCGAATTGATAGCAGCGATAGCGAGAGATTAACTTCGTCTTTTCCCCATCTGGTGTTTGCAGCAGCGTATTTCAACGGCCGAGTAGGCGCCGGAGGAAGGCAAGGCCAGGCGGAAGCCGGTGGATTCGAAGAAGACGCCGATGGAGACGGCGACGGCTTTGAGAGTGGCCAGAGGTAGAGTGAGTAGAGACGCCGGAAGCCGCCGAGAGCGAGGACGACGGCTCGGAGCTGTTGCTGTTGGTTACAGCTGTGTCTTGTGCAGATCAGCTCCCATAGCCGCTCATCTAGGGCCGTTTGATTCCACTGTTTGCTAACGCACGCCGCCGTAGCTAACGTGCGCCCGTCAACGTGTTTCAGTACTTCGTACAGTAGATTCTCATTCAACAACACCGCCTCCGTATCCGCATCCGCATCCGCATCCGGCGACTCTATAACCTGCTTCATCTTTTTCAAATCGCCGGAGACTTTAGCTGCACAGTTAGCTTCAAATTGCCTCTTCATCGGTAACTTCCTCTCTTCCTCCAACTCTAACATCTCCTTCTTCATCTTCTTCACATGATCGCCGCCGGTGAAATTGGCCCAATCGGTTTCTCCGGCGTCGAATTGCCGCTTCATCGTTGGATCTAAATTTGTGAAAATTGAAGGATAGAGGAAGTCTTTTTATTCGGTGGATTAGGGGGGTAGGTGGGGGGTGGGGGTGGGTGTTAAATGTTAATAGTGGGATTAAAGGGAAGCACATGGGATGAGGGTTGTAGAAATGATTATCGAAAAAGACAAAAGAAAAGTAATGAAATGGGGTTTTTGGGTGGGCCGTGGGAAAATGACATATTTGTCCTTGTGATTAGTGGTGTGTCCCAACTCTGTCCTTGTCTTTTTTATAAAACAAACCCCTTTTGTCTCATTTTAAAATAGCACTATTTAACACTCCTTTTAATATAAAATTTGTTAGGTTTAGATTAAAAGATCGAAATGAAATAATAATTATTTCAATTAAGTAAAATATATTATGAACCAAAATATAACATTTTTTTATTTGTCTAACACAGAAAAGTAAATAAAAAAAAATCACTTATTTTTGAAGGAAAACATTTTAGTGCCTTGGTACTTTCATATACCAAACACATCTATTATTTAAACTTCACAGAACATAATAATAGTAGTGATTAAAAGAAGATAGAAAATCAAGCCAATAAGATGAAGAGAGTATAGTAATGTTGCTTAATCAAGAAAAAAGAATATCTTAGGAAATTGCCTCAGAAAATGACATCTTAATTAACACTCAATATGTTTTTGTCTATTCCCAAATCATTTTATGTTAACTTTATTTATCTGCAAATTGTGACGCAGCAGAAAGTATTGGGCCACCACCCATTATGGGCTTTAGATGGACCTAAGTTATAAACTCTGGATTGATCCATTAATTCACAGTCAAGCTCAATCTTTAACTGGGGATAAGTACCCAAAAATATTTGAAGAAAACCGGAGACATACTTTACTATCATATATATACTATTGACATAATATTTAAACATGACCTTTAAATTGACGTCAGTTGATAACTTTGGCTTTTAACTTTAGGTGTGCACAAATAGACACTTAAACTTGTATAAAATTGAACAAATAAACACATTTGTCCTACATGACATAATACACTTAGGACACCATGTATGAAACAAAATTGTTATGTAAGGTGTGAATCACATTAGATACATATATTTGCATACAATTAGATTAATTCACTTGTATCTGGGAGATCAGATACGAGTGAGATGGGAGAGAGACGAGTGAGATCTGCTATGTTCTCTATGCATGCTAATATACTTGGTTACAATTTATATAGATCAAATTATACCTAAATTTTACTCATGTATCCAAAATATGAATCTAGAAGCACCAAAATTTGATAAGATACGTAATATTGCAAACTAGAATGTATGTAAATAATTAACTTCTAAATTATAGGGAAATTTATGTAAATTCTCCAAAAAATTCATTTATTTTAGTCTATTTTACTTGTCATAATTTGACATAAAATTTATAAAAAAACTAAAAAAAACTGTTAGAATGTTATAATTTTAAACTAAAAACATGTTCAATGTACTAAAATATTCTTCAAAAATCTTTCAACTGAATTGTTACTGCCTGTTAATTGTGCGAAACACATTGTTAGTTTTTTCTAATTTTTTCTTTCTTTTTCTTTTCTTGCAAACTATCTAGTTCTAGAAATACGATTTTTCTTAAAGCATCAATTCTTTAAAATAATAAATTAAATTTCTCCTTGGAAACCACTTATCAGTCTAAGGAATTTATACAAGATTTTCCTAATGCACACTAAAAACAACATTCTATGGTTTACTATAAACACGTTTTTAACAAGAAAAATGTGATATATGTTGAAGATTAACGAATATAATTCAATATTGCAAAATGAATCATCAATTTGAAAATGAAATTACTTCAATAAAAGAGAAGATGTATAGTGTAAAATGGATTTGCAATTAATCTTGTGATCAATCCAAAAGTAAGTAATAATTGAATATGAAGTAAAAGAACAAATTAAAGCAACTCGAGGAATATTCCATTTTTTAAGACGAAAAAAATAATACAGTAAATCAAAATTATGTAATTAATGGCCACTTCCGCTATGACTTGGGCCAGAATATGCTTGATTTGTCATGGCATTATCAATGGACGAAGACGAAGATGAAGATGAAGATATTGATTTATTCTGATTCTGAGTAAACCATTTTGAGTTACTCACATTGAATATTTGTTGTTGTTGATCAACATTAACCTTTGGTGACGCAAAGAGACGATAATGATGGCGTTCTTTAAGTTTCCTTGATCCTTGTACTTGAACTGATTGAAAGGAGGATATAATTAAAACGAAAAGAAGTACTAGGATTATAAAGTGTTGCTTCATGATTTTACTTTGTTGTTGTTGTTTTTGAAATGTTCAAACTAAGTGTAACATGTTATTCTACGAAGTGAAGTCATGACGTTATTTATAGGGAAAAAAATAAAAATAGTCATATTCACCAATTTGGTCGTGTGATCAGGCACTTTGACTTCCATGCAAATTTGTCGGAATTGTCTCAAACAAATAGAAGAATGAACTATATCATTATTTTATTTAATTTTATTTTGCAAATAATCTATTATACTCATTATTTTAGTTTAGATTGTTAAATACTTGTCATAACAAATTGTGACCCATCCATTATAAATGCTCTAATTTTGATATTGATATGCTTTTTACGAGTACTAAAAGTTAGAAGCGACTAAATGGAGATAATTTTTGGGTCACCTAACGCAAATATAATTCATCAAGAGTTGTGGTGAAACGAATGAAATTAATAGGGTTTGAATTAGTTTGAGCTTTCGAATTGAAAAATACCTAGTAATAAACATTTTATTTTTTAATAGGTTTTATATGACAGAAATGTTGATTAACGAGACTATTGAGATAATTGATTATGACTTGTATATAAAAAATATTTGATTTTTTACCTATATATTAATAAAATAAATCTTTGAATTTTGGTTTGTATAATTATCAAGTTAGTAGTGGTTATACCAACAAAAAAATTTGAGAGATCTTTTCATGTGTCCTATAAAATTGGAAGTTGTAAGAATTAATTGCACATATTGCGCAAACTTTGCTCTACTCTATCTGGCCCAGCTGGATATCCGTTAATTCCTGCCGGAGCGCACTAACCGGTGTCTGGTCGGTGACCACAACAAATTCCCACAATTAATCCTAATTAATCAATCAAATTATGGTATTAATATTCCTTAAGAATTCACAAAGTCTGAAATTCATTATATATGATTTAGAGCGGTTAAAATGGGTCGGCCCCGCCCCATCAGGTCCAAGCCTCGTGGGCTAGGGAATTCGAAGGGTTAGAGCGTGTCAGCGCTTCATTAGGTAGGACCTGAAAATACTCAATGTAACCTAATTTTAGAAGGGTCGAGGGTTGGGGCGTGCTAGCCCTTTCTTCTTTGCTTTTTTTTTCGAGGTTTGGGACGGGCTAACCCTTCTTCTTTTTTTTTTGTTTTTTTTTCTTTCAAACTTATAGTTCTATAACATCGAGAAATGATTCAATAACAATAGTAAAAATCTAGTGTAATTAGCATGTTTCTCGCATACCAAATACGCGAGTGTGATACGAGAACGACAAGCAAGATGGGAGGGAGGCGAAGGCGCGAAATTTGTCTACGTATCCTAGATACATCCGAATTTACTTAGATAGAGTGTATCTAGAATAAATTAACCTAATTCTGAGTCCATACATTTCGAGATACATGTGTATGAGCACGATAATTCATAATATTACAACATAACGTGTATTCAAATAATCAAATGATTTACTAGTGAGACCATTGCAAATTACTCTAATAAAAAGTTTTGACCTATATTTCAACCCTGACCCAGCCCCGACCAAACTTCCAGGGCGAATGCTTTATATGGATCGGACTTATATTCTAGTTTTAAATGAATTTGAAAAATCAAATCTCAACCCTACCCCCAAATAACTAATAGGGTTGGGCCGGTCCCATGAGCTTATTTGCTAAAGTGTATTTCAAATGAAATAATGATTTAGAAAACTTACATAAATATACTATATTAAAAAAATATTTATCATTTAATACACTAGCTTTATTTTTTTTACTTGATCGCTCTAAATACATTTATAATACACTTTTAATACATATTACAAACAATAATTTATTATTCACATATAATACAGTTTTTAATGATGGATAATACTTCTATACAAATTTTTACTATACTTGTAATATAATGTGTCAATTTCTTACCAAACAAACATAGTAATATATTTTAAGAAACAGTTATACTGATACATATATACTGCATGCATAATTCATTATTAATACATATTATAAATTTAACATAGTATTGCTATAAATGATAATAAATAAAAAAATGTCGCTAAAATTCGTAACTATTTATCAAAATACATCCATTCAAGTAATTTTCCGAAATGATTAATTTCAACTCACAATTTTCCAAAAGGTAAAATATTGTCCAAGCACTAGTTTTAATTTTTAAATATATTTTTTTCTATTCAAATTTTAACCAAATATCATCGAAACGCCTAGATATCATGATTTCACATTGGATATATAAGATTTTGCAGTTGAAAATTTATTTACACATAATCCGTGATCATCACTATATGAGAAATTAAATTAATAGTATGATTTTAGGAGGGCCAGATTGGAAATGACGAAAGAAAAAAATCCAATAGGTATAATAAAGAATGAATATTAACATTCTCGTTCCGTGATATATCATCACTCTAGAATATTATTCGTATAATAATACGATGTTAGATTCGATATATAGAATTATTTCTTTGGTGGTACATATACTCTAAATTAAAGAAATAGAATATACATTAAAAACTCACAAACAAATAGTGAGGGAATATAAAATTATGTTACAAAAATCCCAGTTGGTTGGGTGTGGAGGAATATAATTTGTTAGAGGTACATGTGATGCACAATATAATGCACTAGAAAAACAATAGCCACTATGCTATTATTTTAAGTGAAACACTATTAATATTAGTCGCACTCATGCATTGCAAGGAGGATAAAAATAGA